TGCCGTGCCAGACATGCCTCCTGGGTCACCCTGGCTCATGGCACCAAAACGGCCATGTCTAATTCCAGAAGATGTAAAAATGGGACACTGTGGCTGATCTACAGACCTCTCTCATGGACTGCTTCAAGCAGAAATAATAACAAAGACTAACAAGCTTTCTATTAAAAAAAAATAATCGGAGGTGTATTTTAGCAATTTGGAGGAAAGAACACACTGCTAACACGTAAAGCATGTATGAAGCATCCCATAAATCATATGAAGTACAACAATGCTTGAAAAAGACCCATCTTCCTGTAACGCATATTAAAAAACAGAGGCTGCGTGGGCTGGGGCAGAGGGCCCGGGGCTGTTGGAGCTATGAGAGAGGCGGGCAGCAACATGAGAACAGCCGCAGGCTCCTGCTGGAGGCAGAAGGGACGGTACTGCGGTGTAGGGATGCGGTGACGGGAATGCGAAGAGCAGAGGCGCGGGAAACGCGGCCCGGGATGCAGGCCGGCCGCAGAGCCGCGCAGCTCCGCCTCTGGCTGCAGTTCCGCCCGCCGCCCAGCGGAGGGCGCTGCCGCACGGCGGTGACGCGGACGATGTGTCAGACTGCGCTAGTAAAATGCGCTGATCAGGGCCGGCAAGTCCAGGTTCTTCTTCTAGACTTGGCACGTACACTTAATTAGCCCGAGTATTGCTGCAATTTTTGTCTCGCAAGAAGAAATTTGACTGTTAATTCACTGATGAATGTAAAGTGTTTTGAGATCCCAGATAAAGGGCTTGTAGGAGTGAGAAGGTGTTACATCAGCCTTCAAAAATCTCAGGTCGGCTCCTGACCTCAGGTACCAGTTTCTGGAGTGATTTGACTGTCCTTAATCACCTGCAATGACGGCTCCGCATTTTAATACCAGACACCGGGTATTTCCATTCCACCAAGCATTTAAGATGGGTGAACCCCTCTGCTGAACCAGTGAAATTCATATACCTGATTACAGTAATGACGGCCATTTGTAAGCGGCTAAATAAATAGAGCATTGCTAATCCGGTTCTCTTAAAGACTGCCTGCACAGCCACGTTCAGGGATTCTGCCCTGTCTGATATTTCTCCCACAGACCATCATCTGTACAGCACTTTCCATACTCTCCTAAGGATCACCCTGTTTTTTCCATGGTGACATTTGCTGCCCAGCCTCTTGAAGTGTGGGAAGAGGCGTGCCGTCTTTTCAGTACCGTTCAGTTTTGGTATAAAGGGGGAAAAAGAGGGAACATGGCCAGGATGGGAAACAGAGGGAGGCTGTTCCTCATCTGCAGCCTGCTATGCCAGGGATGGGTAATTCCACAATGCAAGAAGTGCGTACCTGGAGAAACAGAGTATGCCTTGAGCATGGCTCTGGGCACAAGGGCAGGAGCAAGACATGCTACTTTCGTGTTGTAACCAGCACTTTGGAAACTGGTTGCAATTCTATAAGCTGCTTTGCCTGTGCCACACTGAGCTTCCCTACAGCATGGTCTCAGCTGTAGGTGAGCTTTCACTCCAAGAGTATGTTACTTTTGTGTTTTTTTTCTTGTTTTCTGACTGTTCATCGTCACTATTTTTCCCAGTGTTATGTAGCCAGTGTACCTCACGTCAAATTTTATGCCCACATTTCTTATCCACACCTGTGAGACCTATTAAGACTGATTCATCACCTTGGAGAAACTCACTAATGGGTGAGCACCACAATATTTCGATTTTTAGATACTGCATTGGAGAAAAAGGAAAAAAAAAAAAAAGACCCTTTGTGTACCAGTCTCAGCCTTCATAGGCCTTTCATTGCAGGAACTATAAAATATACCCCAGAATACTTGGCCACAATCACATTACTTCAATTTATAAGAATTTCCCTGTCCAAAGTCTTTTCCCTTTTGTGACAATTGCTTATCAAAGCTTCATAAAAGTTCTCCCAGAACCAGGGAAGTTTTGGAGCAGGTTGCAGACCATTTCCATTAGCTCCAGGGAAGGTGTCCCTCCCGAGTGCTCTGCAGCACACCTGGGCAGCTCTGCCTCTTTAAAAAGCTGGCAGGCAGCTGGGCTAGCTCCTTTGGAGGCCACGGGATTATTCAGTCATTACAGCAGGAGGAGGCTAATCCATAGGATTTCCTTTTGGAGCAGGAACATGTAAAGGAGGGAAGGGTCCTGGAAAGAAAAGGAACGTTCAAAAGGTATGCTGCTTAATAAGGAAGAAAAAAATCCCAACCCATGCTTCTCTGCTAGCTTAGTCACTCTCCTGAATGAAGCAGTTAAACCTTTCTGTGAGCTGTGGGAGGTTCTCGGTTGCCCCCTACCCAGCCCTCCAGTCGCTGCTGTTCAGGTTGTGCTACGGAGCTGCACCACTGATGATCGGGAGGCTCTCGTGGGCTGCTGTGGATGTTGCTTCTGCCCACAGGTGAGCCAGTACCACGGGTGCCTGGAACCCTTCTGCTCTGTGAGAAGTGCTTGGCTCACTGTCTGCTGGGACTATTGTTAGCAGTCCTGTGGCAGTTCAAGGGAGAAGGCAGGTTTACCATCAGACCTCGTAAATTAGTGTGCAACTCAATGCATGCATTGGTGTAGCTGTGGATTTATGTATCTTGTATACCAGGATGCCTTCCGGGGGGGGGGGGGGGGGGGGGGGGGGGGGGGGGGGGGGGGGGGGG